GTGACCCTGCTGGTTATTTAAAATACCGGTGGCATAGCCCTCAGAATCACAGCAACTCAAACCACCACAGCATGACAGACAGACGAGTGGTGGCCGTGATAGGAAGGGTCTAAGTAACACTGGAGATCAGTTGGTTTTCATGATGCAGATGTCCTCTTCTCATCCGCCACACAGCCAGGCTGCTTCCTGCCAGTGTGGCTGCTAGCATGGTTCTTGGCACATCACAACCACTGTTGCTTCTCTAGCCCTAAGGGCCCAGCTCCAACACCCTTTTTGCCTACAAGGGATGGAGACTTTGCTCCTCAATGAATGCCTCTCCCCTTCAGGTATATTTCTATTGGTGCTCTCTGAAATCTGCTTCCCACTGAGTTCTCTCCTCTACTCTTTCTCACTTTAGCCACCACATAGCCTTAACTGCTTTCTACACCCCTCCCATATATTGTGGTGTCTGCCTCCTAGTTTAGCTGAAAAAGGAATTTGCATTTTGTCTTCTATTCTCTTTGTTGCTTTTGGGTGATTTTCAGCAGTAGCAGAGAAAAATGCAAAGTTCAGGCAGCCATGTTCATACCAACAGGCCTCAATGACACAGTTTTACAAAGCAAAGGTGCATTTCTTTACAGAATGCAGTGGCTGGGCTAGCCCACGGCACAATCACTCTTCCCAGCTTCTGTGTTCAGGAGCCACAGCATCCAGACAGCCTTGCTCCCTCTGCACATTTACACAAGATCCAGGGCAATGCACCAGCTCTGGGTGACCAGCTGGACTGACCACTCAACACCCTTCCCAAGAGACAACCCTTTAACTCTACCTGTCACTGTAGATTTCTAGGTGTCAGGGAGACAGGAAAGGGCAACTAGGTCCCTAGAAGTTGTCCACTCATAACTCATTTTCTCCTCAAAGTACCTCTCCTTCTATTTGCAGTCTGGCTAGTAGGTAGCAGTTATGTATATTTTTGTTTCGCTCCCTACTATCGAGTTAATTCTGACTTACAGTGACCCTGTAAGACAGAAAACTGCTCCCTAGAGGCTGTAAATCTCTATGGAAGCAACCTTGTCTTTCCCCCAAAGAGATGCCTTTTAGTCAGCCCAGTGCTTAAGTCACTGTACCACCAGGACTCCTTTTGTATACATGTATACATGACCTCTGGTCACATAAGTCACTTTTTAAAAAACTCTTTATTGTGAATTGAGTGAAGGTTACCAGACCAGAGCTTCAGTTTCACATTCAACAAGTCATACACTGTGTTGCTTCCCAGTGATTGCAATCCCCTCCATGTAACAATAATTATCCCACTTCCTCCCTCTGTTTCTGGTCTCCATTCCTCCTTTCCCCACCCTTCTGAACAGTGACCTCAGCTAAATGCTGCCCTTGTGATCTCAAATGCCTGACCTTTGTATGATGTGTGAACCGTTCACTTGACTGAAACTGGAATCACGGGGTGACATAAGTCACTATTATCTGTGCTTCCTGGTATAGCGCTCTGGGCTAATGCGCTGGACTACAAAGTCGGTTTCAACTGCAAAGTTGGCAGTTCAAGCTCACCAGCTCCTCCTCGGAAACCCTATATAGGGTCGCTCAAGTCAGAACCAACTCGACAGCACTCAGCAACAACATGTATGCTTCTATACTGTTTTTTACACTGTTACAATGTTTTCGTCATGTTTTTAAACACCTGTATACAACTCATTTATAATGTGAAATGAGAAATAATATATTTCTGAACTTAAGAGACAGAAGCATATGTATTTTTATAATACTCTTTAAAAATTACCTGTAAGTCATTCAAGTTTTCTAATCTGCAAATAGATAAC